ACCTTCCCTCCCAGTGCTAGAGGGAGAAATCTCAGCACCATGGGGCTACAGTCACCTCAATATTCACAAGCTTCACCTCCTGTGCACCCTGAGCTTGCTCGGCAAGGAACAATCCATTACCTTGCTCTGTTCTGCCAGATCTTGACTCCATCCTAAGCACATCTCCATCTGCACATCCTTTCTAAAATGCATTTATCTTCAGAATGAAATTCTTTTAGGAAGAGCCCAGAGCCGGGTGGCAGAGGCAGGCAGATCTCTGAGTTCGAGGCCAGCCTGGTCTACAATAGCTAGTTCCAGGACAGGTACCAAAGCTACAAAGAAGCCTTGTCTTGAAACAAACAGACAAAAACAAGAAGAAGAAGAAGAGGAAGAAGAAGAAGAAGAAGAAGAAGAAGAAGAAGAAGAAGAAGAAGAAGAAGAACCCACAATTACTGGGATTTATGTGTGTCACTTTCAAACTGCTTTATCTCTCTGACTTTGCCACCAAACACTTAAACTAAAAATCGGCATCTCTCATCTTCAGATGATGTCAAGAGATTTGGTGTGTGTGTGTGTGTGTATGTGTGTGTGTGTGTGTGAGGGAGAGAGAGAGGGGGAGGGAGGGAGAGAGAGAGAGAAAGGGAGGGAGGGAGAGAGAGAGAGAGAGAGAGAGAGAGAGAACTCAAGGACCATGCAGGCTTTTCTCCTATCTTTTATCTAGACTCAGATGTGCCCAGCTAGCTCATTCAGTGGAACATGAAACTTAAAGGCTCAAAAAGGATGATCCTCCTTGAGAGAAGCATGGAACACTTCTTTTCTAAGGTTTCTTTCTCAGTGCTTTCACAGTGAACATAATGGCCCCACCTAGTATTTTTTTGAGACAGGGCCTCATTACGCAGCCCTGCCTGGTCTGGAACTTGGTATGTAGACCAGGGAGAGTAGTGTGGAGCCCACTGAGCTCCTCTGGCCTCTGCCTCCTGTGTGCTGGAATTAAAGGCTTGGTCCACCAAGCCTGGATGCTTTACCTAAAAAAAAATTATATGTCTGTGTGTGTATGAGTATATTTGTGTCCAGTGGTCAGAAGAGGGCATCAGCTCCCCTGGAACGGGCACCACAGTTGTGAGCCACCACCACGTGATCACTGTAAGTCAAACCCCTGGAACAGCAGCCAGCCCCGAACCACTGAGTCATCTCTCCAGCAGCACGATTCTCCAGCATTCCCGTCTCCTGAGGAAAGACACGTTTGTGCCTCTGATTCTCTGAGGGACTTGTGACCAAGACCCCCACTTTCCTGCTACTGGCCTTCACTTCCTGTCTGCACGATCCCTGGACAACTGGCCCTGCTAATGTTGGAACATGGCAGGCCGGGCATGAAGCCGTGAAGCCAAAGAAGCCTCCATCCCAGCAAATGAGGATAGGATAGGATAGGACAGGACAGGACAGGACAGGACAGGACAGGACAGAGTTAATGTGTAGAAAAACAAGACCATGACAAACGTGAAAAGAGGAGGCAGACTAGAGGAAGTCATCGGGCGGAACCTGAGCTACTGATGTGGGTTCTTTATTTCAGGCTGTGATAGAACCCAGGGCTGAGCCCACGTTGTGCTGGAAAGCCTCTGTCACTAAGCTACACACTGAATTCCTTGGTTCTGAAAACCCGCTTAAGTCATGAATCTCCACCTTTCTTGATGTTTCTTTACACTTGTATGTTGTCTTTATTTGTGTGTGTGTGGCACACAAGTGGAGGTCAGAGGACAACTTGCAAGAGACATTGTCAGGTCTGTCCTTCTACCATGTGGGTCCTAAGGATGGAACTCAGGTTGTCAGATCTGGTGGCAATCACCATTACCCACTGAGTCATCTTGTCAGCCCTTCTTCAGTTCAGGTATTTTTAATCTTGTGTGTGTGTGTTATTCTTCTCTTGTCTATGGAGAACGTTAGAAACATGACATTCCAAGTAGCAATGAGTACACGCAGCTTAGGTTATTTTCATTTTTTCCTTTTGGTTTTTTTTTTTTTTTTTTTTTGAGACAGGGTTTCTATGTAGCTCTGGCTGTTCTGGAACTTGCTCTATAGACCAGGCTAGCCTTGAACTCAGAGATCTACCTTCAGCTTAGTTTCCAATACCATTCAACATTTAAGGAATCAAGACCCCTTAGAGAAGTGTTTATTCTAGGCCTAGGCTTGGGAAGATAGAAAAGAAGCCTGGTTGCCAGGCATGGTGGAGCACATGGTGGAGCACGCCTTTAATTCCCGTGCCCGTAGGGACAGGCAGATCTCTGTCATCTACACAGTGAGTTCCAAGCCGGCCAGGCTACTCAGTGAGACCCTGTCTTGCCTGGGTTCTCTTGTTATGCTAGAAGGTAAAAAAAGCAACAAGTTAAAGACACAAGTCTGACAGGTAGTGCACATCTTTAACCCCAGCACTTGGGAGGCAGAGGCAGGCAAATCTCAGTGAGTTCAAGGCCAACCTGGTCTACAAAGCAAGTTCCAGGATAGCCAGGATTGTTACACAGAGAAACCCTGTCTTGAAAAACAAACAAACAAACCAAAAAACCCTGGATAAATATAAGACAGTTTGGGAATCAAAGCCAGGACTTAGCTGTCGACAGTAGAAATCAACACATCTGCACTGATTGCATGTGGTTAAACACACGGGGAAGGTGGACGCCAGAAGCACAGAAGGCAGAGTGCTGCTCAGTCGCTATGGTGACTCAGGGAGGACTGATCACCAGCTATTCTGTAACAGTTGATGGGCAATGGTTATGGGCTCTCCCAGTACCTTCCCACACTCCCATGGCGTTCTCACCCAACACCCCAGGCTGGTCGGGTAGAACCCTCAGACAAGTCTAAGTGCCATCCTAGAAAATAACTGGCCTTCATCCTTCCAGAGTGCCACGGTAAGGAGAGATAAAGGCAGGATGAGGAATTCTGTCTAGCAGATGCGTGTAATCACGTGGCAGTTAGTGTAGCTCACGATCCTTTACAAGAAAAAAGAATTGCTACAAGAACACTTGAAACAACAGACAAATCTAAGTACAAGCCATGCATTAAAGAACAGTATTGGATGTTAGACCTTGTGTGTGTGCATGTGTGTGTATGTATGTATGTGTGTGTGTATGCATGTGTATGTGTAGGGGTACATGCACGTGAGTGCAGGTACCTGGAGGTCACTGAAGAGTTGGGTCCCTAGAGCTGGAATTGCTGGCAGTTATGAGCTGCTCAGCATACGGACTTGGAACTGAACCTGAGGCTTCTGCAAGAGCATTCTCCAGCCCCCAACTTCTTGGTTTTGAAACTTTTTTTTTTTTTTTTGGTTTTTCTTTTTTTGGTTTTTTGAGACAGGGTTTCTGTGTGTAACTGTGGTTGTCCTGGAACTCACTCTGTAAAGCAGGCTGGCCTCCAACTCACAGAAATCTACCTACCTCTATGTCCAAAGTGCTGGGATTAAAGGCGTGTACCACCATTGCCTGGCTGACTTTGATAACTTTATTTAAATTATGATGGGACATTCTTGTTCTTATGGAACCACATACTGAAATTTGGGGATAACTGGTAATGGCAGCAACTCTCAAATGATTCAGAAAATACATGTAAATACTTCAGATTAAATGGGTCACATATGTTGGTGTACCTGTATCCTAGCACCTGGGAAGCTCAGCGAGGAGAATCAGGTGTCCAAGAGCAAGCCTGGCTACCCAACAAATTCAAAATCAGCGTGGGCTGCATGAGAATCTGAGTCAAGCAAAAACACACAAACCAGCAAGTGGGGTAAAATGTCAACAATGGGAATTTTCATAAAGCACATACAAGTTCTTTTTGAAATTATATTAACAGTTACCCAATACTTCCTTCCTCAGCCAAGATTCAGCAGTGAGTGTTGAATCTGAACTGCAGTACTCCATGGAAATCTGATCTCGGCTCACTGGAGAGCAGGCTGGTTTGGAACTCAGTGTTAGGATTAAAGCTGTGCATAACCACAGCCATTCTCCGTGGAAGCCTTAAAATTAGTTACCAGTGAAATGTGTGAAGCTATATAAAGAGGTGGAGGGAAAATACTTGTGACATCCATGATGTTGAATGGTAAAGGCAGGATACGAAATACTTGGTATAACTTTAATGATGAACAGTCATCGGCTGCAGCACTAGCGTCTCCCCTGGTGCCAGTGTTAAAGCAGTGTTCCCAAGCCTTAGCCACCCACCTGGTCACAGCAGCAAGTCCAGGAGCCTCTGGGGAGGGGACATCCGTGGAGCTTGGGAGGCTGGGTAGTTGGATTCCCACAGCAGCCATTCTGCTCTCTTCTCTCACTGAGGGGCCTCCAACTCCTTTCTATCTCGGGCTACTGAGGCAGCTGCAGCCACACACACCCTCCCCCCCCGCAATGACTGGTCTGAGACCCGAGCGAGCACCCTCACACACGAGGGTCGAGGGTCAGGGACGACTCTCTCCCAGGAAAATGGAGAAAGCTCCTCTGATCCCAGGTACATGGGGAAAGCTTCTCTGAACTTTGAAAGGCTTGGATGCTCTGTGATTACCCAGTCTCAGGATTAAAGCAGCCAGCCCTTATCACCTAACACAGCCTGAGGGTGGCGCAGCTTTCTTTTGGGTAGTGCTGGGGACTGGACCCACACCCTTCACAAGCTGACAAGCACTTGCTCAGCAGCTGCTCAACACACCCCTCCCCCCAGCATGAGGATGTGTTTAGATAGGATTAGAACATAGGATAGGCCAGAGACCTAGGGCCTTCTTCATAGAACAGACTTTAGCTTCTTAAGACACAGGTGCCTTAAAGCTCCCTCCTACAGAAACAGGAAGACTCAAGAGGACTAAGACACTCTCAGCTGGGCACTGAGGCCAGTAGGCAAGAAACTCCAGTTCCACAGGAAGGCAGAAGAAGGCCATGTGAGTGTCTGTGAGTGAACCTACTACCCAGCTACGTTGGGTTAGGAGCGCTCTAGACCTCCTTCTGACTGCTTCCCAGCAGAAAGGAAAAAGTGCAACCACGTTGAGTCCTGTGACATGATTTTCAAATATTTTATTACATAATCTTTCATGGCACCATCAGGAGTAACAGAAAACGTTATTCCCAGTTCCTAAACCACAGCCTGAAAAATATACATTTGTATTTATATATTTATATCAACACTCCACCCCTAACCTATAATTCCACCACCTATTGTAGGTCTTTTGCTTAAAGCAGGAAACTATTCTCTTAGGTAAGAAAATATATGTGGAAGCTAAATGAAATATTGGTTAGAGTAACTGGGAAGAGTTCGTTTGTGGGGCAGAGTGGAAGAGTTAAGTCCAGCCAAGGCAGGGTGCATCAGTTGGGGTCCATCGAGGGGGAGGAGGACAGAGTATAAAAAGGCAGCGTCACACAGGTGGGCTCTGGTATCCTTGGTCCCTCAGGAGATGGCCTTCGCCTCAGGAAGGAAGGCTTCCCAGTATTTTGCCAGCTGCAAACAAGTGGGGAGACAGTAATTAAGTTCCCCTGTCTAGCGGCAGAGCCTGAGCTAGCCTAGGAGGAAAACAAGTTCAGAGCAATGACATGCCTGCCCCGTGCACCAGCCACCCAGACGGAAGGCCTGTGGGGCAGAGGCAGCCACACTGTGCCTCCTCCCTCTAGACTTAAGAAGGCATCCATCAGTTTCTGTCCCAAATTCAAAGGCAAACCCTGAAGACCACAGCTGTTTGCACCTCACGATGGTACCATTGTTCCACAGATGGATTAGTCTCAGAAACCAGAGTGATAGATAGTACCACAGGGTGGGCATAAGGCGCTATAGTCGCTATACTGAGAGCTGCAGTGAGAGAAGAGATGGCCCAGTGGGTAAAGAGGGCAATGAAGATGTATTGTCATGCTTAGCAAAGGGCCCTGGCTGAGAAAGGGCCTGTTTTCAAATATCATCTACAGCAAAGCCTCCTCCCTCAGAAGCATGATCCCACATCAAGTCACCAAAGCCGTGTGGAGACAGCTGTCATTTGGGACAGGCAATGGGGGAGGGCTGTGCATAATTACATATATACATACCTGCTGCTGGGAATGTAGGAGTGTCTCCAGGTACTTGATCACGTGGTTTTTGAAGTCCTTGGATTTCTCTTTCTATAGAAAACAGGATTCTACACTGACCTCCCAGACAGGTGTTCCTTCCCATTTTGGTGGGGTGGTGGTATTTACTGCTGGCCAAGGTCAAGCACAGCCTTGGAAAGTAGAGCCAGCAGCTTCAACAGCTGGGGTTTCCAGCCAAATGGCATCTGCCAAAGCTCTGCAAGCTTTCTTAGAGGGCAGGGAGAGGGCAGTGGAAGGGAAAGAACACACAGCAGCTACTGGCTTTGCTTTGTGTCTAATTGTGTCCAGCAGCAGATGTTAAGACAGCCACCATGCCTCAGGAACTAGCATACAAGTGCAGACACAACAGACACAAAGACGGCTGCTCAGATTCTATCTCACCTCAAATCGAATCACTTCTTTCCGGACAACTGTTGAAATCCTTTCAAAGTCCCTTTCATACTGAGTCACCCGAGACTCCCACTGGCAAGAGGAAAGAAAGGTTTGCTTACGGCCTGGGATACAGCTGCAGGAGCAGAATTCTTGGCTAGTATGTATGAGAGACTGGGTTCAAGCTCCATTACCACAAGTAAAGATGGTAGGGCGGGGCGGTGGTGGCACAAGCCTTTAACACCAGAACTTGGGAGGCAGAGGCAAGCTGATCTCTGAGTTCAAAACCATCCTGGTCTATAGCACAGTATACAGAGTGAGTTCCAGGACAGCCAAGGCTACATAGAGAAATTCTGTCCTTTTTTTTTTTTAAGATTTATTTATTTATTATGTATACAACATTCCTTCCATGTATGCTTGCATGCCAGAAGAGGGCACCAGATCTCATTATAGATGGCTGTGAGCCACCATGTGGTTGCTGGGAATTGAACTCAGGACCTCTGGAAGAGCAGTCAGTGCTCTTAACCTCTGAGCCATCTCTCCAGCCCCTGAGAAATCCTGTCTTAAAAACAAAGCAAAACAAAACAAAAAACCCTGAAATTGGTGGTGCAGAATCATTTAATATCATGGTGCAATTCTACAGGAGACCTTAGTGGATCTTTCCGTCTGTCTGTCCCTTTGGGAAGGGTGAGATAGACATACAAGGGATTGTGTATTGCATAGCACAGTCCAGGAGGCCACTGTGGGATGGCTGGAAAGACAGCCATGTGCCTCAGCCAAGCCTGGTCTGTGAAAAACTCTAGTACCACAGCAGCCTCTGACTTAGGAACTCAAAAGCAGAGCCAAGAAAACATAATTTAGTTCTTGTCTGGTGTGTGGGGCATATCTGAGTCACCTTATGTGTGGGGTCTTTCAAAGATTCATGCAAGGAGCTAGGGCTACCTCAGGGTTTAAGAGCACTGGCTGTTCTCCCAGAGGATTCAGGTTCAAATCTCAACACCCACACGGTGGCTCACAAGTCCCTAGGTATCCAACACCCTCTTCTGTCCTTTTCAGGTACTAGGCAGGTACACTGTGCATAGACATACATGCAGGCAAAACACCCATAAACACGCAAAGTAAAAAAAAGATAGATAGGTGGGGGGGGGGGGAGAGAGATAATAGGCGGGTAGCAGAGTGAGCAGAGTGGTGGGGAGCCAGGCCTCAAGGTTGCTCTGAAGTTGTTCTCAGAGACCTGCGCAGGAGCCCTGGCTCTTTAATTATCTCTCTTGCCTGTTGTGGGCTACCAAACATCTGGTCAGGATGGAAGCAGTGTTCCCATGGCACACTGGGGTAACTCGGATGGGGAGCTCACCTCTGTAATCTCATCCTTAGCTTGCTGCAGTTTGTCAGGCTTGTTGGCCCACAGCAGCCGCGCCTCAGACTCCCGCTTCTTCTGCAGTGTGGCTTGCGCATCCTGCCAGCGCTGCCATGTCTTCATGCGCTGGTCGAAGGCAGCCTATGGGGGAGGGCAGTTGGGAGGAGCACAGCCAGCTCTCTGGTATCCCTGGCTGACTCTGCCTTAGAGGGAAGCTCTCCTAGCAGTTGTGTCGGGGAAGCACTGGCAAGGGTATGTTCTGCAGCCACTGTTAGTGCCCAGCTGGGGCATTTAATGTCTAAAAGCACAAGCTTGGATCAGGCCCTTTTCAAGCTTCCAGGGGGCCAGTGCCATGCTACTCAGGGCTGGATGGCTGGGGGCACAGTGGGCAGCCTGATGTCTATACCTGACACTAATGAAGTTTCTAGGCTGCCTATCTCAACCAAGTCAGACCATGAGTCTATACACTTTCCCCAAGTCTGCCACATGCGAGGAGCTAAGAATACAGCGGGAGCTGAAACACACAGTCCTACTCTCAAGGAACATTTCTTCTGGAAAATCCATCATTGTATTAGCAATTACATAGATGTTTACACAAACTCAGAGTACTGGAGAAACAAGCAGGTGCTGAAACCTGAAGCTGGGGACCTTGCACAGCTCTGGAACTGTGAGTTGAGAAACCGCCTTTCAGCTGACACAGATGGCACACTTGGTAACAGAAGGACTTTTTTCCTTTTGAGACAAGGTCTCAGGTAGCAGGGCAGGTCCGGTCTCATTACATAGCTGAGGATGACACTGAACTCCTGAGCCTCGGGCCTCAGTCTCAGTGCTGGCATGAGTCACCATGCTGGCAGCTTAAGGATTCTTTACATAAACACTTAGAATGGTCACATGACCTACTTACTGCCTTCCTCTCACCCACACGTGTCACTTGCCTGCTCTAGGCTATCAAGGCCTGTGAGAAGCTCTCCAAGTCATTATTGGCTTCCTGTTTCTAGTCTTTTGAACAGAATTAGCATTTTCAGAGAAGCTCAGTTGTTGGCCTAACCATCTCCCATCTCACCTATATGCTATGGGCTTCCAAAGGCAGTCCACATCAAAGAGTATGCCAGGGCCGGTCTCCTAGCCCTGTTTATATGCTCCCCATTCCTTACAAAGGTTCCCTGCATGTCTCCTCGGCTTCCTCAGCTCACACCTGGGACAAAACATCAGCCCTAGTGAATGTGGAGTGCAGTGTTGCCAAATTCACCTTCCCCAGCCCTGCTGTGGCTGCAGTTTCTTTTGTTTCTCAAGACAGGCTTCACTCTGTATCCAGTGAACTCACTATGTAGCACAGGCTGGCCTGGAATTTACCATGATCTTCTTGCCTCAGCCTCCCAACTGCTGGGATTACAGGCATGTGTTCACACATCTGGCTCGTGAAATCTCTTAGCACATCAATGTTGAAAGTTCAGGTAAACGGTGACTCCATATCTGAGAAAGGCTTTAAGCCTATCCCATGGCTCTAAGAGGGTTTCAGGGAAGGACACAAAAGAAACTTTTGCTCATTTCTCCATTCTCACTGTCAGCTCACAACAGGAGGGGGGTGCACAGGTTCTCTGAGAAAAGACCTGCTCATAGTGCTACGTTTTCAAGTTCTGCCCCAGCCCATGGAGAACCAGGCTTGGCTTCTCTGCCCTGTTCACACTGGCTTACTCTGCCTGGAGTCATATCCAAAAGCTGTGCTCTCTTGGGAATCCCTGCCCCTCAATAAAATGCTCCTCACAGAAAGTTTTCCTCAGACAGAGTCCTTCCCCAGGATGGCTCTCCAGCCCGAGTAGTCTAACAGGTTCTAAGAATCCCACAGCGGGTCCTTTTTCAAGTCTCTTATCTCTCTGGAGTTAGAAGCAACCAAGGAGCAGAAGGACAAGGAACAGGTCACAGAACCCAGTGGGCAGCTCCGCAGTGGGAGATGTGCTGAGGACAAGGAGTAGGCTGCGGCTCATGCACCCCGATACCGTGTAGAATCAGTCCTAAGAGTGCAGGGGTCAGGCTCCTCTAGGTTTCTTCCTTCATCAGGGAGGCCATGCAAAGAGCTAATACTGCCCAGCCAAGCTTCCTTAACTGATCTGAGAGCTCTGGAAACAGACACCCTGGTCATCAAGAGAACTGAGGTGTTTGACCCGAAGGGCAGCGTGCAGTGTTGCCACCAGTGAGGTCAGCACAGCACAAGGAGGGCTCTGGTGGCAAGCCCTCTCAGCACCTGGGCCACACTCCTCCATGCAACTCCAAGCCAGTTCTGTGTCATTACCTGACTGGTCACACTGGAAGGACAAGTGGAAGCCAGCAAAGAGCTCTTATCAGGGCAAAGACCAAAGGGCTGAAGAGTCACTGCTCCAGGGGCCAAGCAGCAGTCTGTAATAAGTCTTGCTTGGAGAAAGGTGTGCGGAGAATACTGCCTTTCTTCAACATTAAGGGGGCCTACTTGGAAATTCAAGAGTGGGCTGCTGTGGGCCTCAGAATAACAGGAGGCAACTGACTAGTTTAAGTGAATGCTGGGTCTACAGGGTCCTTTCAAAAGTAGAAGTTACAACCACTCCTAAGCTAAAGTGAGATAAACTTTTCTAAGGAAGCAGAGAGCAGGAGACACCTGGGGCAAGGAAGTGAGGCTTACTCGGACAATGGCCAGGAGGCGAATGTAGTCACTTAGGAGTTCAGCAAGGAGGAAGAAGTCGTTGTTGGCCTGTTCCTGATGGAGCTGCTCAATCTTTTCTTCCACCTCAGCCAGCTGGGAGAGTGCTCGTGACAGGGCCGTGTTGTCCTCAGAGCTCCCAAGCATGGCAAGACTCTTGGCAAACTGGGCTGTGTTCAGAGCTAGCTCTGGAAGGAAGCAAAGACAACAGAGGCCTCTTGATCTCTCAGGAAAGAGACAAGAGGACCCTGTGAAGCATGTCCTGGCAATTCTGGCCCCTGTGTGTCTGACAGTTGAGCATCCTGCGCCCAGTCACCCAACTCAGTGAAGGGAAAGTGGCCTGAGTTGGTCACAGGACTGGGAGGGAAAGCTCCTGCTGTCCACGTGTGACTAGGTCTGGTCACCTGAAGTCCGCAGCTCCAGCATTCCTGGAGAGCCAGCTATTACCTCATGAAAGAGGTCAACGGAAGGAGTGGCTCTGGGGTTTAAGCTCATGAACTGCCTATATGCACCACACAGCCACACATCTACACAAACACACAGACATACATACACAGACACACATAACACACAGACATACATACACAGACACACATAACACACA